ACTCTACCAACTGAGCTATAACCCCAGCCCTCTGGTTATCATCTTAATAAAGATGTTAGAAAAATTTCTTGTGAAGAACACTGTTAAAAGAGCTTTTCAGAGGAAGGTGGCAGAACATAAGATGAAGCTTTGTATGTATCTTACCCAGCACGTTGAATTTCTGTACTTCTTATCTCAACCTTAAGAGAAGGACAAAGATAATCAAGTGTGGAATTGTGATCATTTTGAGTAATTTTACCAGTGAGAAGCTCTATCCATGTTTGGACAGTTTCTGTGGGTTCAGTTGCTTTGATGTGTTTGAGAGTTTCATCCAGTAAAACATCACCTGTTGGGCTGTCTGACTTTAGCAGCACCTTTGAGAAAAGAAGAAACAAAAAACCTTGAGTTGTTCACTTCATTTAAATTAAAATCTTTCAGTACTATAGTTTCATAATACACTTTTCCCTGTTCTGAAAAAAGGTGGTTTTGGTTTTTTTTTGGGTACCAGGGATGAACCTAGGGGTGCTTAACCACTGAGCCACATCCCCAGCCCTTTTTATTTTTTTATTTTGAGACAGGGTCTCTTGCTAAGTTGCTTAGGGCCTTGCTAAATTGCGGAGGCTGGCTTTGAATTTGTAATCCTCCTCCCTCAGCCTCCGTAGCCACTGGGATTATAGGCTTGTGCCTCTGTGCCCAGCCTGAAGAAAGTTTAAAATACAATATGATGWGTTAGGGAGAAGAGAAAAATAACATTTGAAGTGGACCCTAGAGACAAAAGAGATATAAATAATAATGAAGGGAAGATTTAATAACTTCCTTGAGTCCGAACMACCACCTGTGAAACTGTTAACAAAGGTAGGAAAAAGCCAGGAAAGAAAGCCAGTTTTGGAGAAAAGCTGACTTTAAAAAATTTTTTATTTTTAATTTTTACAGTGCTAGAGATTGAACCCAGGGACTTGCTCATGGTAGGCAAGTACTTTACCACTGATTTATAGCCCTGGACCAATAAATCTGGTTTTCTTTTTTTAGTACCAGTGATTGAACCTAGAGACAGACCCTTAACCACTGAGCTACCTCTTCAGCTCTTTTTATTTTTTGAGATAGTCTTGGTAAGTTACTTAGAACCTCACTGACAATTTAGTTAAGTGAGGCTGGCTTTGAATTTTGATCCTTCTGCCTCAGACTCCCAAGTTGTTGGAATTATAGGCATGCACCACCACACCAGGCTCAATAAGCACGGTTTTAACTGATATTGGGCAGCCAAGTGGAATTGTCCAGACAAACCAGGCATGGCAGCACATATCTACAACCCCAGMTACTCGGGAAGCTGAGGCAGGAGTATTGCAAGTATGAGGCTACCCTCAGCAACTTAGCAAGGGTGTCTCAAAATAAAATTTTTAAAAATGGCTGAAGGGCTGGGGCTGCAGTTCAGTGGCAGAGTGCTTGCCTAGCATGTGTGAGGTACTGGAGTCAATCCTCAGCCCTGCATAAAATAAACAAATAAAAAAAATGCATGTTGTCCATACACAACTACAAAAAAAAAAAAAAAAAAGTGGCTCAGGATGTAGTTCATTGGAAGTTTAGAGCACCCCTGGATTCAACACCTAATAGTAAAACAAAAAGAAAGAAAAAGGTGGGGGATGAGAAGACCGAGGTAAAAAAGCAGTGG